ATTTCTTGGTTAACTGTTCCTTTGATCAGAATGAAATGACCCTCCTTATCTCTTCTGATTAGTTTTACTTTGAAGTCTATTTTGTCAGATACTAGAATTGTAACCCCTGCTTGTTTCTCAGTGCCATTTACTTGCAATATTGTTTTCCATACCTTAAGGTAATGCCTGTCCTTGAAGGTGAGATAGGTTTCTTGCAGACAGCAAAGAGATGGATTTTATTCTTAATCCATTCACTTAGCCTGTGTCTTTTTTACTGGGGAGTTCAGTCCATTGATATTCAAGGTTATTATTGAAAGATGTGCATTGGTTGCCATCATTTTGATTGCTGTTTGTGTTATTTGTCTAATTTTGTGTTTCCTTGATTATACCTTTATTTTCTTTTGTTGCCCCTGGTGTATAGTTGTTTCTCTCTCTACTCTCTGTATTCGTTCAAGTATTCTTTGAAGGGCTGGTTTTGTGGACATGTATTCTTTCAGGCTGTTCATGTCATGGAAGATTTTTCTTTCCCCCTCAAATATAATAGACATTTTTCCTGGGTATAGTATTCTGGGCTGGCATCTCTTGTCATGTAGTAATGGAAATACCTTGGTCCAGGCTCTTCTGGCTTTCATAGTTTGCATTGATAAGTCAGCTGTAATTCTGACGGGTTTTCCTTTGTATGTGACTTGTTTTTCTTTTGCTGCTTTCAGTGTTCTCTCTGTGTTCTGTACATGTAGTGTTTTTACCATGGTATGTCGTAGGGAGTTTCTTTTCTGATCCTATTTGGTGTTCTATGTGCTTCCTGTATTTGTATGGGGATGTCTTTCCTTAATTTTTGGAAATTCTCTTCTACAATCCTGTTTAAGATCTGGTCAACACCATTAACCTGAAATTCTTCTCCTTCCTCTATTCCTATGATCTGTAGATTTGGTCTTTTCATTGTGTCCCACATCTCTTGCCCATTCCTGTGGTTTTAAAAAATTTCCATAATCTTTGCTTGAGTGGTCCAATTCTTCAACTTTATCCTGCAGTATTGATATTCTGTTTTCCATTGCATTCATTCTAGTGGTGAGGTTTTCCCTTGTTTCAAGTTGGCTTATTGAGTTTTGCACTTCCTTCTTCATTTCTGCCTGAGTTTTCTTCAATGTTTCTCTTTTGTGAATTCATTCAGAAGTTTATCCCTATCTTTTTTTAGTTCTTTGATTTGTTTGTTTGTGTGTTCTTTAAATTCATTGAATTTCTTGATCATGTTTATGATTGGTCTTTTAAATTCAGTGTCCTGGGTTATCTCTAGGGGATTTTCCTTGTAGAACTCTTATACAGGATTGGTGGAGTTTGGCTTTCCATTTTGTTATTCTTTCGTTGTGATTTTGGCATGTAAATTTCTTTTGTTTATGATTCTATAAGAGAATTAAGTAAAGTATGCTTCTGTTTGTTTTATCGGGGTGTCTAGAATCCTTTCTTTATTGGTTATGTAAAGCTGGGTGGTACAGGGTTCAATTTGGAGAGAACTGATGGCTTCAGATCAGCTATTCAGGAGTACCCACAGAAGCTCAGTTCAGGTTCCAGTCAGGTACACTCAGGTTTCCATCAGCACATGGAAGCAGGATCTGCGTGCTCTCAGGTAGTCTCCTGCATACTCAGCCCCTATGCCAGAGGGAGGCCAGAATTTGGCCCTCTCTGGCAGTCTGCTGAGATCAGAGCCGCTATACCAATGGAGGTTGAAACCCACCCTCCCAAGTTGTGTTCTAAGATCTCAGCCTTAGCCTACTGAAGCCCAATCTGCCCTAGGGCCTTGGGAGGAGTCTCACGAAATCCCAGGTAGGGGGATGGGTATGGTGCAATTAGGGGAAGCTCACCACCTCATGGAGGCAAGATCCAGATCCAGGGGGCTCTCAGGCAGTCCCCTGTGTTCTCAGGCCCTCTGCCAGAGGGAGGCTAGAACTCGGCACTCTGGCGGTCTGCTCAAAAACAAAATCTTTTAAAATAAAGATTTATTTCTTTGTCTGTGTGAGTGTATACACGTGTGTGGTTGTGGGGATGTGTGCCTTTGGGTGCAAAAGCCAGAACAGGGCATTTGTGAGACACTCATTTTATACTTGTGCTGGGATCTGAACGCTAATCCTCATGATTGTATAGCAAGTGCTTTTAATTGCTGAGTCATCATCCAGTCCTGTGCTTTTAAAAAGATTTTAAAGCTGTGTGATTTCAGTCAGTTTGACATTTTTTACTTAATGAGATTTTACCTTAGGAAAAGCAACCAAGGTAAGAATTGACTTAATTTAAGCCAGGCATGGTGGCGCACACCTTTAATCCCAGTGCCGGGGAAGTAGAGGCAGGTAGATCTCTGTGAGTTCAAGGCCAGCCTGGTCTACATAGCTAGTTCCAGGAGAGCTGGGGCTACAGGGAGACTCTGTCTCAAAAAGATCAAAAAAAGGGAAAAGAAAAAGAATTGACTTTAAGAAAAAAAATTCATGATTAAATAAATAAATA